TCTGCCAGTTCCACTGACCAAGCAAGTACATGACCAACATCAATGGGATGGAGAAGTAACTCCAGCCACATCAGGGTTCAATATAGATCCCTCAGCAAAGGGCACAGAGGCATAATTCTAATCCAGGAAGAGAGCAAAGAATTGAGGCCAACAATTCAATCGACTTGAGGGACCTTGTTAGATATATTTCTGAAAAATAACTGTTAGCTGTGGGAAGGGGGAGTATAAAGATGCTAGCAGTCATAAACTCTTTCTAAAACAAAGTAGAAAAGACAAGGAGTGAGGGAAGTTGGGAGGGGTGAGAGAGGAAAGAAGAGTTTTGATTGGAAGTTGAAAAGAGTAGCAGCCAAAGGACTCAACATTATACAGTTTCAAAATAAGCATGGGCCTAATTTAGGGCACTGGGGAGGTAAGGGAACTAAGAGTTACTGAAGACATATGTATTCAAAACACTGCACTAGTTCACATGGCCTGTGTCATATGATCCTTACAGTACTGCAGTAGATATTATCGTCAGATCCCAAAGTCCATTTTGGAAGAAAGGAACTGAATTGAGAGACATTTTGGAAATCAAATATATAAGACTTGTTGGACTAATTAGATAATGATGGTAAAACAGAATGGGGAAAGCTAAATGACTCCTAAGCATCTACGTGGGCAATAGTGTGTTGCTTCCCCATTAACTTAGTTGGGAAACACAAAAGGAGGGCCAGTTTGTGAGCTGAAGGAGATACATTTTTGGCTTGTGTTGGTGATACTATAGGACATCTATGTGAGATATTTTACAAATGGTTGGAAATTTGTATCTTAGAGCTCAAGAAGCCAATCCTGGAGAAACACTCCAGAAATAAAAGCAAAAAGCATGGAAAATGATATTAGCAAAGAAGTGAATGTGTCTTGCACACACAGTTCATGTTCATGGAATGGCTAGCAAATTAACATACTGTTTAGACATGTGTCTAATGTAAACACATATTTACTCATGTGTCTAATCGTATGTATTAGTTTACATATAGCAAGTAGTGTGAAATTAGGTTGAAAAGATAAGTTTGTACCTGATCTCAGTTGTCCTAGGATGCTGGAATAGGACATTTGGGCTTTTATCAAGAAAGAACCACTATAGGTTTTTGTGCAAGGGTTGACTGAAAGAGCCTGGCTTTTTGGAAGACTGATGTAGCATCATGGTATAAGCTGGACCAAAAGTAGGAGGCCAAGTGGAAGGCTATTGCATTAGTTTTTATAAGCACCAACAAGAACCTAAACAGAGTAGTGGCAGGAAGAACAGAAATGAAGGAACAGATGGAAGAATTGCTCTGAAGGTAATTGCTGTGCAGCGCAGTAACCATTCTGCCTACCATTAAATACGTGTCAAGTTAGTTTTGTAACTTCACTTGGCACTAATGGTTTCCTGTCTTTAGGTATGCAGAGCCTTCATAATTTATTGTTCATCTGTTCACATATTTTTTCAATAAGGGTTATAATTTCTATGAGGGAGAGACTATAACTTGTTTTGTTCTCTACTATTCCACAACATTTATCAGAATAGGCACTGGCTAAATGTTTAACAAATGAGCAGCTGGATGAATGCTGCCCCTGCACATGTCAGTGTACCCATTCCTAGATTCTCTTCACGCTTGCTCTCTACCCTGCCCCCGTCTCTCATCTTTCCACCAAATATTTCCCTCCCTCTCACCTCCTTAAGGTTGGTCTGGGAGAACTTACCTCACAGGAGGAACCAGATTTCTGAGCAGTCTGCAGAAACTGATGTGACATTTTTTTTCCAATCCTGCCTTCAACCAAGCTCAACTGACTCTCTCGTTACTATTTTTAATGTTATCTCAGACATATCCAGTAGCTTTCCAGTTACATAAAATATTGAAAATTCAGTTCCTATCCATTTAAGCCTCCAGTTTTATTTTCTCCCCCCACCCCTACCCCATTTTAGGCTTCCACCAAGGGACTGGTATCTCTCTCTTTTCTGACTCTAAATTCCCTAGTGCTAGAGAAGGAGAGATTGGGGGGAAGGCATACTTCCTTATACTTGACTGGGTTTGGTTTGCAGAGCTCTGGTGAGTTTCCCGTCATTGTTCTTTGGCTAACGCTGATCATCAGCAACCTCTGTGTGGCAGGTGGCCGCTGGCGGTATGGGACATCTGACTCTACCCCAGCTTGATTCATCAAGATTCTCTAAGCTCATCCCCAGTATCCACTGCTGGGGTGATCAGCTTCTTGGATGGCTAACAGCAAGACCTCCCTGCCAGGCTATTAATTTTAAAGCTAACGAGTCTCTCTTCCTTCCTTCTTCCCCTTTCTCCAGTTATTTCCTTGTGTCAACTGGGACAGCCAGGGAGTTTCCTAAGGCTGGGGTGATTATTCAAGGTAGCAGAGTTGGTTCAACCACCTTTTAATACGTACTGGAGAATGCCCCTGGCCCCAATATTTTTGTAATTCTCTGTGGAATATGAAAGTATTTGATACCTTTGAGCTTCTGCTTTGGGTCCTAGTTGCCAATTTTACACATATATATAGTATCTGGCTATTTGTAACTGCTGCCAAAACTTCATTTTGCAACTCCTGAGGTGTCATTTACATTTGTAACTACTGTGTAATAAACACTGAGTTAAGTGTTATGTGAACAAACATTTAATGAGTAGCTAAAATGAGTCAGTCAATGTAAGAATGAAATACAAAAGTCTGTTGTAGTTCAGACCCCAATGCAAAATAATGAATTACATGGCAATATTAAAACAGAGAGCATTTCAACCTCAAAATGGAAAATGGATTGGAGAGTGGAGCAGTAGGAAAGAGAAAAGGAGAAAAGGGAACTTAAAAATGAAGGAGTAGGGCTTCCCTGGTGGCGCAGTGGTTGAGAGTCTGCCTGCCGATGCAGGGGACACGGGTTCATGCGGCTGGGCCCATGAGCCATGGCCACTGAGCCTGCGCATCCGGAGCCTGTGCTCCACAACGGGAGAGGCCACAACAGTGAGAGGCCCGCGTACCGCAAATAAAAAAAAAAAAAATTAAATTAAAAAAATAAAAAGGAGTTAAATACCATCCCAGAAGAGGAAAAGAGAGGAAAAAAAAAAGGTAGAAGAGATACTTGAATATATAATTGCCTTGACCTTTGATTGATCATGGCTAGGAAAAAAAAAAAACAGCTACAGATGACATTTTAGGGACATTTGGGGAATTAATATGGACTATTTATTAGGTAATGTAGTTTTATCAATGTTAGATTTATTGAGGGTGATGATACTGTGACTGTGTCGGAGAATGTCCTTGTTCTTGGGAGTTGCTCCTGGAGTATCAGGGGATGAAGTTTCATGATGTCCGCAAATGATTCAGGAGAAATGTCTTTCCAATGGTTCACCTAAAATTTAAAAAATAAGTGTTGTGTGCATGTGAATGAATGAGTGGGTATAGAGTGAAAGGCAAAAGCCAAATGTAGTAACATTTGGTGAATCAAGATCCCGGGTATTCTGGAAGACATGGCAGTGTACCACCTGTAACTCCCTTCAAGGAAGGACTTGCCCAGCATCAGGGAGAGTGGTCAGCAGACAGCCTCCAGCAGTCAGCATCTTCAGGGTCTGCCTCCATGGCAGAGAGCCCTCACCAGAGCACGCTACTTCCAGGCAGCAACATCCAGTGACAGAGAGGCAGATCACAAAGGCCTGTTCATATCTGCCCTGCCTGGGACACTCTACTAGCCTAAACTGTGCCAGAGCTCCCCAGATGGTTCACAGAGGTGCCATCAAGCCCCATCACAGTCCGGCCCCTCTTCTGCCCAGCACTGCTTCCTCATCCCTCCTTCCGCAGATGTTGATCCCTAATAAACACTTTGCACCCCCCTCCAAAAAAAAGTAGTAAGGAGAATCTCAAAAATGAGAACACTGCATAGTGGCAGAAAGCCTAACATGTTTGAGATTAAAATCTGAATCCCTGATGCCCAGACTAATCTTTTCTCTGCTCACAAATCAGAATCATATAGATTTCCGTTAATATTTATCTCCTTGAATCTGAAGGAAGAGGAAAATCTATGTTGTATTTTGCCAGTTTTGCTGTTCCCATCATGAATTTCACTGAAGGATCACATCAAGTTGATGAGGTGCCAGCTGTCCTTAATAACTGAAGTATTAGATGCTATAGTATGACATGCAAAGCAGCACAAGTCTTAGAAGTGAGTTACTTCGAAAACCACGAACTGCAAATTCAACTAAAATTTCAAATAAAAACCAAAAGACTAGAATAATCCATACAAAATTTTAATGCCAGAAGTTTCTCTTGCTTAAATTACTTTCACACTCCAATTTAAACTCAGAAACATTATGTTGCTGTCACACTTCTTTGTTCTCCTAAAGTAAAAAAATAAATCTTTATATAGCTGACAAAAAATAGGAATCTGTCTGCCAGCGAGTTCTCTATTCTTGTCTAACATACTGTAGGGTCTATGTAGAACACATGGTCCTTAAACACCCAAAAGCCTCTTCTTTACTGGCTTACCACAGCAGTATGTTTCTCCAGCATGTTTGCACTACCTACAATACATGTCTTGCATAAGCATGAATTCCTTTGGATGTTTAAGTCATGCAGTATTTTCACATGCTTTGATGTTGTGCATATGAGAATTATCATCTACATTTTGGGAGTGCAGTTCCCAGTGCCTTGAGCACTGAATTTAAAACTGCTCGACTGACATCATTTTAAATTCCATCCAACAGAATGCCAATAATGTCTGCAACAGAAGTTTGACATATTTAGTTCTCTCAAATATGGAGCTGATTTAGCGGCTAAATTGGAAATTTCTGGGTGCATTTTTGAAAACTAATTCAGCGTGAAATTATTAATAATTTAGAATTGTGCATAAAGTATTTTGGGTTTACTTATTTTCTTATCCAGAAAGATCTGTTGCTTCATATCAGATAAATTTCCAAGATGCATTCTGCTGTTGGAACACAAAGTAAACAGCTTAAATTAATCCTAACGTGATTTTCTAATTACAGATGAGACCCATTGGCCATGATGGCTACCATCCCACATCTGTTGCTGAGTGGCTGGATTCCATTGAACTAGGTGACTACACCAAAGCCTTTCTGATTAATGGCTATACATCGATGGACCTGTTGAAAAAAATCTGGGAGGTTGAACTTATTAACGTAAGTTGGTCTCTTAAAGACACCTTAACGATTCAACACTTGATAATTCCTGCCATAGGTGGGTAATTTTTTCTTTCTTTGTCCTTTGGACATCCAACAAGGATTTACAGGTATGCCTTCTGTTTTGAATATATGTCTCTCTGATTCTAGTCAAGCTCTACAATCATTGTCTTTTGAAGTTTTGGTGTGGGAACTAAGAGGACTCTCAGGGTGTTTTACATTATTTCAGAAAAACTTCCAAGCAGTTTCAGGCTTTCCATTTTAGGAAATTTTGTCACTTTAGGATAGAACATGATAACAAATAGGCTCCCATTCTATTCTTTGCTCTTATTCATTTTTAAAGATTAAAGTCATCATTTTTAGTTTTTTATCTCTGTTATGTTTCCTTGTCTCTATTCCTTAACTGCATATATAAACCCCAAACTTGAAGGGACTTTTTTCTTATTTTATAAGCTTCTGTAATATCAACATTTTATTTTCCAGGGCTTATACCCAATCTTAAATTGTTTGTTTTATTCATACACTTGGCATAAATTTTCTATAAAAACTGGCCAATATATGTTGCCATGTATTTGAGCCCAAAGAGATCAACCAAATCTGTTTAACTGCTTTTTTTTCTTTATAAATTTATTTATTTATTTATTTTTATTTTTGGCTGCGTTGGGTCCCCGTTGCTGTGTGCGAGCTCCCTCCAGTTGCAGCAAGCGGGGGCCACTCCTCGCTGTGGCGCACGGGCCTCTCACTGCGGTGGCCTCTCCCGTTGCGGAGCACAGGCTCTAGGCACGCGGGCTTCAGTAGTTGTGGCTCGCAGGCTCAGTAGTTGTGGCTCACAGGCTCAGTAGTTGTGGCTCACAGGCTCAGTAGTTGTGGCTCGCCGGCTCTAGAGCACAGACTCAGTAGATGTGGCACACGGGCCCAGTTGCCCCAAGGCATGTGGGATCTTCCCGGACCAGGGCCCGAACCCATGTCCCCTGCATTGGCAGGAGGATTCTTAACCACTGTGCCACCAGGGAAGCCCTGTTTAACTGATTCTGATACTGATCATTTTCTCATTTTATTTTTACTGCTCTTTTATTTCTAATGGCATAAAGGAATGAAAGAGATGAAAAGATAGCCTAATTATCATGCCTTCATATTTTAATTGGTATCATGAACATTTCTTTTCAAAAGTGAGAAATCATTTAATCTTTCAGAGAATTTCTTAGACTTAAGTTTCATATTCTAGTAACTGAAAAAAAAGCATTCATGAACTGAAAGACAAAGCAAATACATTTCTGCTGGTTCAAAAGCACTCTGTTCTAGTCTTTATGACATTTTCTCTCCAAAGGTCCAGTCTCTATGTACTGAATGTCATTAATTATTTTAAATTATGGTTAATTAGTAGTAACTAATTATTCTTTGCTTTAAAAGTCTGTCTTAAAAATAATATCTTTTCTGGAACATCTATAAAAACTTTAATCTAAAAATCACTTCAAATGGAGAAAATTCTTGGCTTCTTCTTCTAATTTGCCATCAGCTACTCTTAGCTTTCTGTTCTTATCCTTTCACAAAAGCTTTCATTATTTCAGAAGGAACTCACTATGTCTCTAAAAGCCTCTGATTAATTTTGTTGTTAGTCTGAGTGGAAGCAACTGAAACTGTATTGCTTTTTAGTTGCATCTAGGAGATTTTAGTTTTCCACTGAGAACTTGACACTCATTTTATGGCTACTCTTAGCCATTTATTAAAGGGGGGATCTTCCACAGATCAAACAAACATGCTTCCAACTAAGTTGCTTTCTAGTCAATGATAAATATCTCTATGTAACAGCTGAATAATATCGCTCTGCACTGAAGAATGAATACTTTGGATAGATAGCACATGAGTCACTCACTTAACTAGCATTACCAGTAATCCCTCATTGAAAAGAACAGATTCCAATAGAACTATATTATAAAATGTTTTCATTGAAGCAAGGATCATTAAAACAAGACTATATGTCTCTCAAAATTCAAGTACTGAGGCTAACCTTTAAGGTGTGGGCTTGGACCCACACTTTTCCCCAGTGCTATGTGTACCAGCAGCCTAGAGATGCCCGTTCAGTCACTGTGGTCAGGCCTTGTGGATGACTGCAGTGACTGCAGGGCAGTGATGCCGTAAGGCCCCATGTTTAATGCCAAGGCTCAGGACATTAAATCACTACCCACAGGGCTAACCAGCCTTGAGCTGGGACAGAGCAATGGCCTTTTCCACCCATACTAACTCTTTTTTGTTTGTTTGTTTTGTTTTTCAGTTCTAGAATTCCATTTGGTTCTTTTTCTTTTAACATCTTTCTTGGAGTATAATTGCTTTACGATGTGTTAGTTTCTGCTGTGTAACAAAGTGAATCAGCTATATGTATACATATATCCCCATATCCCCTCCGTCTTGCATCTCCCTCCCAGTTATTTGTAGTGAGATGGATGGACCTAGAGTCTGTCCACCCATAGTAACTCTTTTTTTCGGCTGCATTGGGTCTTTGTTGCTGTACGCGGGCTTTCTCTAGTTGCGGTGAGCGGTGGCTGCTCTTCGTTGCAGTGTGCGGGCTTCTCATTGCAGTGGCTTCTCGTGTTGCGGAGCGTGGGCTCTAGTCGTTCAGGCTTCAGTAGTTGTGGTGCACAGGCTCAGTAGTTGTGGCTCGTGGGCTCTAGAGCACGGGCTCAGTAGTTGTGGCACACGGGCTTAGTTGCTCCGTGGCATGTGGGATCTTCCTGGACCAGGGCTCGAACCCGTGTCCCCTGCATTGGCAGGCAGATTCTTAACCACTGCACCACCAGGGAAGCCCCACCCTTACTAACTCTTGAAGGTACTTTTTCTGTAATACAATCTGACTCCAATCTGGAGAGAAGTACCTGTCACAAGCATTATATCAGAATCGGAAAACATAGTCATTGTGTTTTAGACCTTGAGGCCAAATTCCTTGGGCCTGGAGTACAACATCTGCATCTAATACCAACCCAGTATATTTTCCTTAAAGTGAACTGATGGAATTTAAAGTTTGTGATGAATTTATGGGCAAGTTCACACTCTTAAGGAGGCTTTGCAAGTCATTTAACTCCATAAATATACTTATTATGGACAAACTATCTGTAGCTTTAGACTTGGAAATCAGAGAACAAAATGTTTACGCCCTTTAGATCTGCTACAGAGTAGTTCATTTGATGGTTTAGGGCTGTTGGGTTTTAAAATGAGAGATAGGCACCATGTATACCTCCTGGCTGACGATGCTTTCGACTGGTCTCAAATTCAAGACTTCATTTATCGCAACTAGTGAGGGAAAGTATCCAAATGTAAGATAATCTCATATATATGGGCCCAGCAATTCTGTATTAAGTACCCATAATTTATTTTTTACAGCCAGAAAGGAATGTACAGTCACTTTGATTTAGAGCAGAGCCTTTTAGGGCAAGTCCCATCTTGAACCTTTGTAATGAGTGGCTAGTTTTAAGGAAACCCAGTGGCTCCAATAACTTCTATTCTATGTAGAGTGAAGAGAGAAGTGCAGGTGGAGGCTGCCTTTGATATAGAGGTCTACTGAGAAGAGAGGATGAGAAGACTGACTGCTGATGTGATTACAAATTACTTCAGCATCATTAAATCGTATTGACTAAGCCTCCAATTTCACATGGTATTATTCTTGATATTAAACAACTAATAATACATTCACATTGAGTATAAATTTATTCAGAGTATTTTCATGAAGAAATGAAAACTACACAAAGTTGTGACTTGAAAAGTACAAATACATTTGAAATTGTAATCTTTCAAAAAGTCCCCAAAGTTCTTTTTCTTGGTGGAGCACATTAATGCCTTTGAAAAACAAGGTTATTTGAATAACCTAATAAAGGTTTTAGTCACAAAGCTTCCCAAAGTATAGGAATAGGAGAGAGTAGTGGAGATCTCATATCTTTTTTTTTTTAACATCTTTATCGGAGTATAATTGCTTTACATTGTTGTGTTAGTTTCTGCTGTATAACAAAGTGAATCAGCTTTATGTATACATATATCCCCACAACCCCTCCCTCTTGCGTCTCCCTCCCACCCTCCCTATCCCACGCCTCTAGGTGGTCACAAAGCACCCAGCTGGTCTCCCTGTGCTGTGCAGCTGCTTCCCACTAGCTATCTATTTTACATTTGGTAGCATATATATGTCCATGCCACTCTCTCACTTCATCCCAGCTTACCCTTCCCCCTCCCTGTGTCCTCAAGTCCATTCTCTACATCTACATCTTTATTCCTGTCCTGCCCCTAGGTTCTTAAGAACCTTTTCTTTTTTTCTTTTTTAGACTCTATATATATATGTGTTAGCATACGGTATTTGTTTTTCTCTTTCTGACGTACTTCACTGTGTATGACAGACTCTAGGTCCATCCACCTCACTACACATAACTCAATTTCATTTCTTTTTATGGCTGAGTAATATTCCATTGTACATATGTGCCACACCTTCTTTATCCATTCATCTGTCAATGGACACTTAGGTTGCTTCCATGTCCTGGCTACTGTAAATAGTGCTGCAATGAACATTGTGGTACATGACTCTTTTTGAATTATGGTTTTCTCCAGATACATGTCCAGGAATGGAATTGTGAGGTCGTATGGTAGTTCTATTCTTATTTTTTTAAGGAACCTCCATACTGTTCTCCATAGTGGCTGTATCAATTTACATTCCCACCAACGTTCAAGAGGGTTCCCTTTTCTCCACATCCTCTCCAGCATTTATTGCTTGTAGATTTTTTGATGATGGCCATTCTGACTGGTGTGACAACTACCTCGTTGTAGTTTTGATTTGCATTTCTCTAATGATTAGTGATGTTGAGCATCCTTTCATGTGTTTGTTCGCAATCTGTGTATCTTCTTTGGAGAAAGGTCTATTTACATCTTCTGCCCATTTTTTGATTGAGTTGTTTGTTTTTTAGATATTGAGCTTCATGAGCTGCTTGTATATTTTGGAGATAAATCCTTTGTCTGTTGCTTCGTCT